GGGAAATTTAGGAAACCCTGACTCGGTGCCAAAGGCCACGTGTCCGTCATCACCAAAGTTGCCTCAGCTCGGGAGCTTGGGTACGATTGGGGAAGGTCACTTCGTGAGAACCCCCGCTCGCTCGATCAAAGATGATTCAAGAGGCAAGGCATGCATACAAAATACTATGCAACCTAGGCATGGAAGCTAAGAATGCAACATGAACATGTGAATATGTATAGCATGCAACAATCATGCAAAATGGAGCAAGGATGTGACAATATGCAAGACAAGCACGCAACATCATGCAAAAATGGACTTAAACCAATATAGGTAGCTCTCAAGCATGCCAAAATCATCGGCCAAAATGATGCAACAAAGGCATGAAAACACACACACAAGCATGCATGCACAAAGGCCTAAACATGGAGCATAAGCCATCAACTCTCCAAAGCATGAAAGTTATGGAAAATGCAAGTATGCAAGCATGGAACATAGACTGAAATATGGTCTCCAATGATGCCAAGTCATGAGAACAAGCCAAGTAAAGCATGCTAGTGACACACACACCCAAGGCTAACAAGCTAGAATGCAAAGAGGCTATACAAAGCATGGCAAGCATGACCAAAACGATACCAAAAAGAACTTAAACATGTTAAAATATGACTAAAAACTTCACAAAGCTAAGCCAAAACATACAAGCATGGTGGTCTAAATGCTAAGCACATGTTAAGACAATTCATGGCATTAGAAGACAAGTATGCAAGGCAAGCATGGTGTGTCTAAACCAAGTAAAAACAGTGTTATATCATGGCAAAATAAGGACAAATAACACTTAAGACATGGCCAACATGAACTTAAAAATGGTGCTCACACATGAGGCTAAAATGGCACTTTTTGAAGACAACAAGGAGAGGGGATGGCTCTCTCCTTCTTAGGACCTTAAACCACCATCCTCACCACTGAAATCCCTCAAGATTTTAGTGGTGAGGAGGCCCAAACAAGGTGGTCACGAAGCTCACCAAAAATAGCACAAAATGGGGCCAAACAAGGCCTAAGAGGGGGTAAACGACCCCAAACACAAAAGTGACCTTAATGAAGTATCTTAAACACAAAAAAAAAAGAACTTTTTTATGTTATATACAAAGCCCAAATCCACAATCAAGACAGGCTAAAAGGGTGTGCAAAAACGGGAAATAAAGAGGGAAAATGGGTTACCTTTGAAGACCAGCAAGAACCAGCAGCCTTTAGGCCCAAAAATGCAACCCTCAACCTCTGAAAACAAGCTCCAAGAACCTCCAAGTGATGATGGAAGTGTGTGGCTATGAAGTGGTGTGCAATAGGCCAAGAACAAGACCCTTTTGGACCCTCTAACCCACACAAATGTAGAGAGAGAGGGAGATATAGAGAGGGAGTGATATATATATCATATATATCTGATTTTTCTCACCCTCTAAAGGGGAGGAGAGGCCCTCTTATTATAGAGAAACCAAGGGGGCAAAGCTTCTCTTAGAAGCTTTGAGCAAAAAGGCCAAGCTTCTCTTAGAAGCTTGGAGCAAAAGGGCCAAGCTTCTTGGAGAAGCTAGGCAAAGGGGTCAAGAGGTTCAAGCTTCTTCAAGAAGCTAAAAAAAGGATCAAGCTTCTTGGAGAAGCTAAAAAAAGGTCAAGCTTCTTAGAGAAGCTAAAAAGGGTCAAAAGGTTCAAGCTTCTTGGAGAAGCTAAAAAAAGGATCAAGCTTCTTGGAGAAGCTAAAAAAGGGTCAAGCTTCTTAGAGAAACTAAAAAGGGGTCAAAAGGTTCAAAAGGGTCAAGCTCCCTCAAGAAAAGGTCTCGGCTAGGACAAGTGGCCGATTGATCAGAAACAGTGGCCGGCCGACCAAACATAATGCCGACCGACCATCAATAGTGTCGACCGGCCATCACCAATGGCCGGTGGCAAGGAAACAAGGCCGGTGGCCTCAAGCCATGGCCGGTGAGGTGTGGGGATGGCCTACAAGCTACTTCCCACCCTCAGAAGCAAAACCACAAGTGTTTGATGCAAAACCAAACACAAAACAAACAAGTCGAGAGGTCTTGAGGTAAGACGCGTAGCCGAGACCTCCGAGAACTCAAGACAAACACAAACAAGGGTAATCATCGAGTTTTCAAACGATGACGTCCAAGTCTTGAGGACGATCAAAAATGGGGTGTCTACAGGACCTAATCCCTATTAAACAGTACAGTACAGTCTACAAAACGGTTACAGAGACAGAAGGGGAAACTAAAACACCCCTAAGCCAAAACTTGACAGGCTCGGAACCTCGCTTTGAGGCACATAGGTTGGCTCGACAAAACTGGAGTTTACCCCGACGCTCCTAGCTGCGGTCTGGTGCCTGGACACCTACATATATATATATGAGCAGTGAGCTAAAGCCCAGTGAATAACACAATGCGTAAAGGGGTTAAGAATGAATGTCCTTACAGTAATGAAAGCAGTTCATTAAATCAGTATTTCAGTCGTTCAGTCAGTGTAGTCATATGTGGTACACCCATTAGCATAACAGTACAGTAAACAGTAGGTCTTAAAAGACCGAACAGTAAATGATGGCCATCAATCAGTAACAATAGTGGTTCCAACGAACATATCTCTGTAACAGTATCAGTAAACAGTAGTTGCTAAGGATGCCACAGTACAGTTCAGAATATAGGACATACATTCGTTCAATTAACAGTAACAGTTCAGAAAGCAGTACAGTTCAGTTGTTCAGAAGATAATCATTTGAACATATCTTTACACAGTTGTTA